TGAGATCATGACCTGAGCTGAAATAAAGAGTTGGACGCTTAACCTACTGAGGCACTCAGGCACCCCACATTGGCTTCTTTAAATTTCTTAGGATCATTGTAGGCAAGGATGGCCAGGGAATACTTCCTATAGGAAGTAGAAGAGAGAACCTCAGAGAAGAATACCACCTTTAACCTAATAGAGGTATTTTTATACATTATCCAAGCCAGAGGAAAAGCGAGGAGGAAAGGTAACAGGTGTTCCTTACCCTGATGTTTTCTGCAATGATGCCAGGGTCATTACAGATGGACTCAATGAAAAAGACCTATAAGAGAAAAAGAAGAGAGATTTCTGGCAGAGAATTATGTTTGGTATGGCCAAACATAGCTTGACTTCTTCTTGGTGGCTCTGAGTCATATCTAGAGGCATCTCTGACAACATAATTTCATTCGGTGGTGCTTTCCATGATTCTGAGTTTTATGAGGCATATAGACTCTAAACTGAATAGCCCTAGATTAATTTTTATGTTTTTACTGGTTTTTAGTTCTTACATATTCTTATATATCCACTATAAGTGGCTGTCTTCCCTCCTTCTTCATTTCCACCCCCCACAGTGTCAGCAGCCTGTCAGCAATTATCTTCCATTGCCTAATATAACACCTCTTCTTTCCTATTCTGTTTCTTTGCTTCTGTGATCTGAAAAAACATATAACCAAATTAAAATGTTGAGCCTGATTTGTAGCTGATTTGGCAGCTTGGAGTTCTCTGGTTTGCCTTTCTTTGGAGTTTGTACTAGATAAGTAAGCCCTAGATAAGAGTGGGAATGTAACTATACCTTGTAACCATGTTCTTTCGCAAACTGCAGAATTAGTGACCGTCGTTCTCTAGTAGTGTTGGTGGCATCAAAAACCTAGAGGCAAATGATGAGATTGATTTACTCTGAATATAGTGCGGAAAGAACACATACTCCTTGACTATACTTATGCTAAGTGGAGAACTTCCAGGGTGAGACAGAACTTGAACTGAGTTTTGAAGGATAGGAATGATTTGGAGTTGACTTATGCCTATTTCTCAAGCATTCATTGAGCCTTTGTTGTCAGTCCAGAAATGTAGCAGACTTTAGGTATAAATAAGAGAAGAATTATAAATTTTTATTAAGGTCATTTTATAGGTAAAATAGCTGAGGCTTAGAGGAAATATTTGCCTTAATCAAGGCCACCAAGAGTTGCTGACAGAGCAAAGCTAGGATAGATCTTTTCAACTCCTAGTTGAGGCTTCTTCCTTCCCCAACACTTTGGAGCTCTTCAAGAACAGGAAACTCTTTACCCTCAGCACCTTAGATGGGACCATTTGAGGATTTATTCTCCTTTTAGATTTCACAAATCTTATGCCCAGTGTCTATGGGATTAAATTGAATAGATATTTAGGTAAATCTCTAGAACTAAGAAATATTTGTACGGTACTCTTAAACTCTAGTGTAGTCTTACTGAATTCTTGGAGGTAGAGTGGTAAAGCATAGTGGTTAAAGGTATAGATTTTGGAGCTATACAACCTGAATTCTAGTTTTGGCTTTGCTGCAAACACCCTGTGCCACCTTGGAAAATTATTTAATCTCTGTGTCATTCTTCTATGCTATACCATGGAGTATAACAACAATGCCTGCCTCTTGGAAGAAGGCAGAATTAAATTAATATTTGAAAATTACTTAGAATAATGTGTGTAACATAGTAAATGTTCAATACATATTAGCTGTCATTCATCACAGCAGAAACTTGAGGAAAAATTCAAATTTCTTTACCGCAACATGACCTTCCTCACGGCTGAGATAGTTATGGACATCTTTCAGGGCTGCCAGGGCACACTGCCTGAAAAAGATGGAGAAAGAAACAGAGACACTCACTATCCCCAAGATCAGTTCCTCTGTATTTTTCTCCATTATCTTTTACGCCATCTCTAAGATGTTCCACATTATTCATCTATGAAACATCTACACAGGGTATCCTATGTTCTAGACACTATGAAGAGCACAGACAGGTCACACAGTTGAGTGGCTCTGTGTGTACATCTCAGGGGCAGGGATAAAGTGGAATACCCAGGAAAAGTAGACTAATTACAGATGTCATAATATTAAAATATCTATCCCTTGAACTGACAGACCTCAAGTAGAACTGGTCCTTAAACCCAAGAAGAGTTCGGGTATACGGTCTGTGAAGTAGAAGGCATTCCTGGAATGGGTAACAGTACAAGCACAGGTATGATGGTGGCAATGTATTTATGTCTTTGGAAAGAATCTATCTAGTGATTACTCTTTGCTGGGTTATATTATAAGGGCATGGATCAATAAATGAGTACTGGAAGTGCTCAGTGTCTTGTAGAGGAGAGAGACCTTGAGGTTGAATAGATAGGGTTGGAAAGACTGGAATGGGCCAAGCTATTGAGACTCTTAAATGTTAGGCTGAGAATTTTCCACTCTCTTGTAAGGAGTAGGGGATTATTTGTTCCTAAGTTCTTAAGTAGGGGATGGTTACGACCAGAAACAGACTTTGGGTAGGCTAATGGAAGGGCTTTCCCAACCACCCTTTGAGAGTCTAGAAGACCTCCTTACTAACCTAAGTTGCTCTGCCCCATGTCCCCATCATCTGAACAAAGCCCTCCATCAGCCATTGGCAGTACTGATCTCTAAAATGTTAATCACTTACTTCCTGATAAGTAGGGCCTCCATGTTGTCTGGAAGAAAGAATTCATAGTTCTTGTAGCTCACTGCCTCTCGTCGGTACTGGCCTAAATTAAACACTGAAAGCAGGGAAACCTGGTGAAGAGGTTGGAAAGAATCTAGTGGAATAAAATATGTCCTTTCTAGTATGGATTTCAAAAATAGAAGATATAATTTAGATATAGGTAATATGTTTATAAAGGTTCAAATTATGGCTACCAGATTACTTATTCCTCACACATAAGAATTGTGATCCCATTTTACAAATGAAGAAACTGAAATTCAGAGATAGGAAGTAACTTTCACAGTTAATAAGTGGAGAGCTTGGATTCAAAACCATGTCTGTTTGGCTCCAAAACTAGTCACTTTCCATTATTCTATTTTATTAGAAACCTCAACCCTTTCTATGTCTTAATCTATTGGAAAGGTAAGGAAACAAATCCAGTGAGTAAAATCAATCATCAAGGATAAAATAGTGAGTCACCAGGTAGCAGAACTAGACTGGGCCTCCTGAATCCTAGTCTAATGTTATTACATTTTCCTGTATAATGACAGAGAATCCAAATTTTTTGCCCTCTCTAAGCCATACTTTCTCATCAGTAATAGTGAAAAACCTGAGAGAAGGTAAGGAAAGGAGGAGAAAGAGTATAAAAGGCTAATGCAATATTTCATTCATCCATTCAATAAATACTTTCTGATGCACACTCTATAAAGCAGGACATGAGTTCAGAAGTCCCCAAGATAGACCAAATATGCATGATGGGGCCCTAAGGAGGTCACAATCCAGCAGGTAGGACAGACAGTAAACCAGTAAATGTAGAGTTCCTATCCAGTTTGTTAAATTCTCTGACAGACCCATGGAAAAGAATAAGGGGGATGGACAGATTAACTAAACTTGGGTAAATCTGAGATTGTTTCTTATAGAAAGCAGCATTTGAACCAGCCCTTTTAGGAAGGAAGGCCTTTTATAGGTAGCCATGGAGAGTGGGGGCAGGTAACAGACATTCCACGTAGAGGAACACCATAAGCAAAGGTATGACATTGGCATAAGGTAGAATGTATTTGGGGTATGTTAAGTCATTCACTGTGACTGAAGACTGAGAGACTGGTAGGGGTGGATTGTGGAGTGCCTTGAACAATAAGCTAAAAGGCTTGGTCTGAAACTTGCAGGCCAAGAAGACTCTTTGAGGCTGTAAGTATGATAAGCTTTGTGCTTTGAAACATGACTCTGAGGGCTTCTGTGAGAATGGACTGGACTGGAGAAGATGAAAAACATGTGCATTAGAGCAGAGATCCATCCACCACCATCTCATGTACCCCTAACATCCAACAGAGGTTCCTTGGAGCCTCCAGTTCTTCACCAGAACCGTTCTTTCTCTCCACTTCTGCCAATATTCTACTCCTCCCACAGGACCAAGCTTAAATATACCCTATCTGGAAGCTTTCACTGCCTTCCAGTTGATGATTTCTCTGTGAACACCTTAGTACCCTGCTGTAGGATTCTTTATGTGACATGAGGTATTGAGGTATTCGTATGCATCCCAGACAAATAGAAAACTCTTCAAGGGTAGGGCATGAATCTCATTCATTTTTGCATCTTTAATGCCTACCATGGGTTTTGGCACATAAAAAATAAACATTGGAAAACCCTTCACCAGTGAATTAGAGAAACTGCATAAAGGGAAAGGAAAAGCAACAGAAAGAAAGGAAGAGAATTGAAGAGAGAGAAGGAAGGAGGGAGAGAAATAAGATGCTGGGATGGATAAGAGAAAGGAGAGGAAGAGGATGGAGAAAAAGAAAGTATAAGACCAATGTGGGATTCTTTTCTCTTCCCATCAGTAGAACCAAGTATCAGACCTGCACAGTGAGTATCACGCTTTGGAATCAACCGGATGTGGGTTCATTTCCTGGTTCTGTCACTCATTAGCCATGTGCCTCTAGACAAGGCACTTGACAATGCCCACTTCTTGGGCATTAATTTCATCAACTGTGAAATGATGATATTTTTTGAGGAACCTCCACACTGTTTTCCAGAGTGCTGCGCAAGTTTGCATTCCCACCAACAGTGCAAGAGGGTGCCCATTTCTCCACATCCTCTCCAGCATCTATAATCTCCTGATTTGTTCATTTTAGC